CTCTATCAACCATACCTTCTCCTTTACAGAATCATGCAATTATAATTGATGTTCATAATAATGACCCCAAGATGCTGTAGGGTCCTTTTTAAATCATTAAAGAAAGACCAAATTATATTTTATAGCTATTTTAAATCAGATTGGTTTATGCATACAAATTCTTCAAAAATTTGTTATGGATATAGTCTCTATATAGAGTAACTCAATTTTCAGGAATTAAGAATACTCAAATATCACCATGTAAGTGTAATGAACTAAATCTTACTGCCTAGTAGAGCATAATGTGTTAAATGTAACTTTAGTATATTTTTCTGAAATAAAAAAAAAATCTTACTAGATTTTTATCCATAAAAGAGAATTTGTAACCTAACACTCAACATTTAAAAAAAAAAAAAAAAAGGAAGGAGAGAATGCATTTTGATTTTTATAGATGTTTCTAAGAAATTATGTGATTATGACTATTTGATTATTCAAATGATTTTGGCTTTTTCCTTACTCTCTCCACAATTCAACTCTCCTATAGCTAAGACCACCAAACGACAAACTTGGGAATAGCCTTGAAACCTGGTAAACCATCTAACCATTAAAGCTTATAGGAGTTCTCCACTGTACTCATGATGCCTGGAGACCAATGATAAGGATATTTGTCACTGTATTTGACTTTGTCATACTGGAAATATGATTTATGGCTCTATAATGATTATATTCCCCAAATCCTTCATAATATTTTTTTTCTGATAATGAAGATAAGACATGATCTCAAACATTGTCAGTGGTAATACAAAATTGTACAGCCACTGTGGAAAACCAGTTTGGCAGTTTCATATAGAGTTAAGCATACACTTTAAATATAATTCAGTAATCCCGCTCCTAGATGTTTACCTGAGAGGAGGGAAAACACAGGCCCACACAAAGACCTGTACATGCATGTTTATAGCAGTTTTGTTTGATTGCTAGAAAAGTGAAAGCAATCCAGATGTCCACCAACTGGTAAATGGATAAACACATTGAAGCGACTTCATACAATAAAATATAATATTCAGTAATGGAAAGGAATGAACTCCTGATACAGGCAACAACAGGGGTGAATCTCAAAAGCCTTTTACTAAGTGAAAGAAGCCAAACACAAAAAGGCTCCATATTATATTTTTCCATCTTTATGGCATTCTGAAAAACAGCTGTAAAGTCAGAAATCAGAAGAGTTATTGCAGAGCTGGGGGATATGAGGAGGAGATTGATCATAAAAGGACCTGAAGGAGGCGCCTGGGTGGCTCAGTTGGTTAAGCGACTGCCTTCGGCTCAGGTCATGATCCTGGGGTCCTGGGCTCGAG